GAGCTTGTGTTTTTAGACGTATTCCTGGGCCTCAGCAGGTATTTTTTTGCAAGTATTTTGTGTAAGTTCTTAAATGTTTTTTATATCCTATTTGCAGTTTTAAAAATAGGCTACACATCAGTGCCCTGCCACGTGTTTCAAGTAACTTTAGCTTTTGGTACTTGTTTTTTTTTCCTACTGATTAAGCTCCATGTTACTTTTTAACCAATGAGAGAAATACAAGGTTTTAAAATTTAATAGGAGTCAGGAAAATTTTTATCTTCTTAGCATTTCTTTCTGTTGATCTTAAATGTATTTTTAATAGACTTAAGTGAATTTACCTGTAATGTTTTTAAAGATGAAATGTACTCATCAGTGGAGACTTACATAATCATGTTATCTTTACAGTGTTTACATTTCCTTAAAGCTAGTTGGTCTATATGAAGAAGCAAATCTTTGTTTTATGCCAGCAGTTTAAAGAATTAATTTTTCAAAAAAACATTTTTGTGGGCAGAATGTTTGATTTCAGACCTATTATCCTGCCATTATAAAGGACAATTTGCAGTAAGAAGCTTTTTATTTTGTTTAGACTCCTTTTAAAAGAAGCTGTTTTCATTGGTTTGGCGAATCAAAACACTGATAAAAAGAGGATGTGAAGCCTTTCAATTACATTTCTTTGGTTAAAACTCAGTCCCAGGTGGAGGCGACTAATAGTTGTTCCTGTCTTGTGGTTGCTTAGTGATACTTGTACAATAAATTAAACCTCAGTTCAGATCTCCTAGGCAAGTACCTGCATGGTGCACTGCCAGGAGCAGTAAAGTGTACTTGTTAACAAGTTTCAGCAAAAGACTAAGGGCAGACTAGACCTGGAGTAGGGTGGTTCATCTCAGGTGATGGTTGAAGGCCATCGGCAGAGTACTATGAGGCAGACTGCACAGTTTCTCCTTGTGTACTTTTCTGTTGAGAAAGTGTTTTGTTGGTCGAGGTTGTTTGTTTATTTTTTGTTCATTTATTTTTTGTGTTTGCTACAGATGGGATTGTTTGAGACGTTCGGAAAATGCCTGAGTTTATTCAGTTTGACTTTGTAATAAACAGAGTAAGAGTAAGGATAAAAACCTGCAGAAATGTTTCTGTTGCTCACCTTTGAATTTTCTTCTGTTTTAGTGTAATGATTTCTGTTGATCAAAATAGTTGGAAACAGTGCAGCTCATTTTAGCTTTGATTATTTTTACAACCACTATATAACAACCTTAGAAATTTACTTGTATGTTGATACATGCTCTGTGCTGTGTCGTTCTTTTTCTTATACTCTTTCCTAGCATTCATGTGATTGCAAATTTAACTGTAGTACCCATCACTGATATTTACTTTTGCTCCATATCGTCTAGTAAGACTGCCATATTTATTCATTAGATGCGTAAACTGGGTAGCAGAAACAGCTAATGCTGAAATACCTTTTTTGCTTAATTTTTGCATTGTTAGTTTTCCTATTGTCTTTGTTTTCATTTCAGATCTTGAAGGTTGAAAATTAGCTGGAACATCATGATGCTGGTTTTTGAATAACTCTGGGGCTGTTGAGTTCTAGCCACTCCTGACAGCCTCCCAAGTAGATGTCTAATTTTGGGGATGTCTTATTTTGAGGACTTATCCAAATGCCAAATTTTTGCAGATTTTTTTTTCTGTATTAATTCCACAACAAACATCCTCTAACATGCGGTGCGTTAGTTTCCCACATGCTAAATAAGGATTTCCCATTGCCTGGCCTTCTAGGAAGGCTTCTTCAACTCTGTTGTTGCTGGGTTTTAATGCTGTTCTAGACTGACCTTCCTTAATATATTACACAACCTAGCTTTCTGTTATTTAAAACAAAAACAAAAGCTGTGAATTAGTCCTTAAAGGACTTCAAAGAGAGCTTGTTAAGTACAATTCACTGTGGTGGTGCTATGATAGTCTGCAGATACAGTAACTTCTCATCAGATCTCACCTTCTGTGCGGTGCCAAACAGCAGCAGCAGCAGCAGCACCTTGTTTGCGTGTAGCTCTGCGTAGCCCACGGGGCAGCTGCCAAGCTGATGCAAGTGATGCATTTCTCATAGCACTTGCTTATTTCTTATCACTTCCCTAAAAGGCAACTGGAAAAATATCCAGCTGAACTTTCCTATAGTGATAGCATTCGCACTTCTATATCCAGCTCTGTCTGTCTCCCTGTATGACATGCATGTGCCATGTTCCAATTTTATACGTAGTCTTTTGTTCCAACTCCCGTTTGGACAAACATATTAAAGTTGTGCTGTTTTATTTGTGTGGAGGGTGATTTGTCAGAAACCATAGTTGTCAGACAGCCACTTTCTGGAGCAATTTTGCCCATTTAATGAGCTGGACATGGGAAGAGATTAAAATATATGATAACTGACCTGCATTACAGTATTATGGACTATTTACAATTGTTGGGCATTAGTTGGTAAATACTTTTCTGCAAATGGAGAAGCAGCGTTTATTCTTAAAATGGAAGCCAACTTAACATCTGTGTATTACAAATGAATATTCCATCTGCCCATCCGCTTTCTGCTGCGTAAAGGAAATAATAGTGTGACGGTGTGGTCTCAGCAGGTGTCTGTCATGGTGGTTTGGTGTTTCTTGCTGGTGGGTGATACCAGCAGAACAGCCTCCTCCTCCACCTTTGTGCCATTCATCCTCAGGCAGGGGGACTCCAGCCCACTCCCTGTGTTTATGCTTTTCCCCTGGAAGTGCGAATCTTGGCCCCCCGTGATCTCCGGCAGAGGGTACCCTGAGGGGGCAGCCCAGGGAGCCTCAGCTGGGCGCAGCAGCGTGTTGCTGCTACTGAATAATAGGGAACAGTTTCCTATGCCCACGTGCTGACTTGAAGGCTTCAGTGAGGGAGAGTCGTGACAGCATATGGTCTTGAAGTGCCGCCTTTGTTATTGTTTTGGGGTGCACAGTCTACAGCAAAACCTGTCTGCCCAGCTCAGTGCGCACTGTGATGATATCTGTGTGCAAGGTGGAGCCAGGTGGTGATGGTGTTCCTTTTTTTTTAATCCATAAAGTAATTTTTTTCATCTTTACAGACTTTACTGACTCTATCTAGACTTTTTGTGATGTAAAGGGAGCTGAGCAGGGCTTTAGGTTCTTCTTTCATCTTGCATATTTTGACTTTAAAGACTTTTTGACATCTAATTGGTATAAATTATGAAATCTGAGTGTTGTGTGAATGTTATTATTGATTTCCTCTCTCACATCTTAAATCCATGTGACTATTAAAGTTTAGAGCTGGCTGTATAGATACACATGAACTTGCCATGCTTTCCTACTGAGCTGAGTGTTATTAATGTTTACGTCCTGCTGGGTAGTAGGACCATACTGATTAAATGAATTAATGAAATGAGAGCTGCCTACAGCAAGTCAGTCCTGTAATCTGTACTTACTGTTAATTCCTCTAAATCTAAAAATTAATAGTTTACAGCTTGTTTCCCTTAAATGAGAGATGAATATAGCACAGTTATGTACTGTCCTTCTTTCATATTTTAAATGAGAAATAAAGCTAATCTTTAAAAGGTCAAGTTTTTTAATCAGCAGTGCTGGTCACATTAAGCTTGAGTGTTGTGGAGAAATAATTGGTGAAAAGTTTATCATAACAACTGTAATTAAAAAAATGCAGGTAATTGCTGCAGTACTGAAGTACTTCACATTTTTTTTGTTCAACGTGCATTAAGCAAGCCTAGCTAGCAGAATTAGCAATGGACTGCCATATAGCAGTGGTAGTTTTAGATGGTGAAAAGCTCTTATCTTTTTGGTTTGTATATTGCCGTTAAGTGTGATAAGGAATTCATTTTGTTATCCTGGATCACAGAATCACAGAAGAGTTGAGCTTGGAAGGGACCTTTAGAGATCATCTAGTCCGACCTCCCTGCTGAAGCAGGTTCACCTAGAGCAGATTGCCCAAGACCGTGTCCAGAAGGCTTTTGAATATCTCCAAGGAAGGAGACTCCACCACCTCTCTGTGCAACCTGTTCCAGTGCTCTGTTACCCTCACAGTGAAGAAGTTTTTCCTCATGTTCAGTTGGTGCCCGTTGCCTCTTGTCCTATCACTGGGCACCACTGAGAAGAGTCTGGCCCCGCTGAGAAGAGTCTGGCCCCATCCTCGACACCCTCCCTTCAGATACTTACACACATTGATAGTAAAGCCAAGTGACACGCAGTGAAATTCTGCATCCCTTAGAGAGTTGATGGGAAGCATTGCTGTTAACTGCGGTGGGACCAATATATAGCACAGAGTTCGGCTAAGGTGATTAGATCGTCTTACCAAATTGCTAAGAGTTCAGAAAGAGATTGCAGCAGCAATATCTTTCATTAAAAATAAGACAATTGAAAGATAAATAGGGAGGTTTCCAGTTATCAAAGCAACTATTACACTTGTTCCTTGCAGGTTTATGGCTCTTTCTCTGCATTTAATTCTGTCTTTAAACTAAGTTGCTATATGCAATACCATATGCAAGTATGTACCTGTAACCTAGTTACTGTGTAGATTTTTGAATCTTGGGAAAATTTAACACTGCTAATTTCAAATTGACAATAGGTCTGACGTATTATATATTGAAATTCTGCATAGCCAACAGGAAGGCCATAGCAACTAGGAGGTGGTTGGAGAATGCCTGGTGTAAGTTGCCTTCTTTTCATCTTTACACAAGTTCTCACTTTCCATTCTTCAGTTCTTTAATTTTTCTTGCCTGTACATGGGCTGTGGAGTGAATGAGGTTTCTTAAATTGTGAAGGTGGATAGTATACAAATGTACTTACCTAAAGCACTGATGTCTAAAACAGTCTATGTACAGTCCACATGAAACACAACTTATGTGATGTTAACTGAAATGGATCTAATCTATAAGCATGTAAATGTCATTGTTGATGTGTTATGTTATGATGGGTTTCACTTTCTTTATCTTGTGTAATATTGTGACTCTCTCTATCTCTCTCTACCCCTCTCCTTTTTTTTGTTTTCATCAGCGGTATTTTCTTGTTGGAAGTAATCCTGCAGAAACCAAGTATCGTGTTTTGAAAATAGATCGCACTGAACCAAAAGATTTGGTTATAATTGATGATAAGGTGAGTATCTCTCTCTTTGTGGGCTTTTTCAGTTATTCCAAATAATCCTATGTATCTAGGGCTGAATTTAAACGTTGTTTTCAACAAAGATATATTACAGAATCAAAGGATTGTAGAACATTTGAGGTTGTAAGGGACCTCTGGAGATTGTCTAGTCCCGCCTCCTCCTCAGAGCAGGGTCAACAAGAGGAGGTTGCTCAGAGCCGTGTCCAGTTGAGTTTTGACTGTCTTCAGTGATGGAGACTCCACAGCCTCTCTAGGCAACCTGTTCTGGTATTTGATCACGCATATAGTGAAAAAGCTTTTTCTGATATTTAAATTGATTTTTTTGTCTTTCGATTCATGCCCATTGCCTCTTGTCCTTTCACTGGGTACCACCAAGAAGAATCTGGCTCCACCTTCTTTTCTTCCACTCATCAGATATTTAAATGCACTGATGAGATTTCCCCAAACCTTCTCAAGGATGGACAATCCCCTCTCTCTTCGTCTCCTCCTGTACATTAGACGGTAATGGCTTGTTACTGCATGAGGATGGCCAAACAGCATGTTCACTTTAATGAAAACTTTTCCCTGTTCTGTATGCTCATAATGGCTTTCTTATGTTCACCTATGTTATTTGAAATGCAAAATAAACTTAATTACTATTTAGCCAAGTATTCAGTGTTTCTGATATGTAATACCTGAAGCAAAATAAGTGGCAGCAACAAGGCTTATAATGTACAGAACAGAATAAGACTAGGCTGTCTCCCAGGAAGTTTATGGTTTAAAATCTTAATGCTTAAGAAGTAGACGTGTTTGACTTCGTACACATACATGAATATTTCTGTTGCAGTGAATAGGAGTTTTTGTGCATAAAACACAGGTGTGCTGATAGGACTGAAAGAGGAGTGGAGGATGCAAAGGAGAAGTTTGAATTATTCTGTATTAAGTAAATTCTACTATTCTCTGACATGAAATAACACTTTTTTTTTTTTTAGCACGTGTATACACAACAAGAGGTGAGGGAACTTCTTGGCCGCTTAGATCTGGGGAACAGAACAAAGATTGGGCAGAAGGGCTCTTCTGGGTTATCTCGAGCTGTCTCCGCTTTTGGTGTAGTAGGTAAATCTCCTGTTTGTTTTTATCTTTGTTTCTTAAGGAGATGAGGCTTACTGTATTACACGGTATATCTTTCTGTCTCCCCGTGATTTATTTTATTGAATATGTTGAAGAAACTGCAGTCTCAAAGATAATTAAATTTCTTTACATTTTGTGAAAATAGGTGGCCAGTTTAGGGATGAGAGTTGACCTATAACCAGTCTATCCTTAGTCACTAAGGGAGAGATGTAGTAAACAGCCAAACTATGGAAGTTTGATTGAAGATCTCACCAAAGTTAATGAATTGCAGGATAAAAATCACATGAAACAAGGCCTCCTGAATGCCAGAGCTGACAAAGGTCTTGCTTAAAAGAAAAAAAGAAAGCCAATGTCCATTGTTAAGTTATATTTCTTCATCACACGCTATTTGGAGAAATGACTAATTTTCTTTTTGGTTAACTTTTTGCAGTGGAGTATTTAAATATTTCTTTCTCACATTTGAACAAGTGACTAGTATGTCAAATGAGTTTTTAAATGCTGATCGGTTGTTCATAATCTTATCAGAATTACAATGAGGATTTCAGCATCTAAATAATTTCCCTGTTTGCTCCTATCTTACTCTGCCAAAATGTTTTTTCCAAATGTCAGTGTATCTGGAAATCAGAACTTCTCTCTCTGTTGTCATATAATGAGTTCAGTGTTTTGATGGGTGATGTCTCTAAATGTTACGTGTTAACATGTGCTCTGGCAGCCCCCAAGAATACTCTGTGCCTGATGTGCATCAATGTACCCTGGAACATCTAAATCCAAAGCTGCAGAGAAGTTAGAAACTGCGACTGCATTGAAAGATGCTCCTGAATTTTGAGTGACAACCTAAATGTAGAAAATGTTATTAATATTCTAATCTAAAGTGACAGATAAAGCAACTGTCTCCTATATTCTTTCACCCTTAAAGCATTTTGGAACCTATCAGTGAATGCACTTTTAGGACATTTGTCAATTAGGTTCATGTTTCCTATTAATGCAGGGATATTATTAATAAAATGGCTAAAGCTGAAGAAGCTTATAAGTCTTGCGCCATTGGCTTTCTTCAGTTTCTTTCTTTCTTTTCCTGACCTCTCAGGTCAGGAGGTTGGTGCTTTGTTTTCAGTAGAATAGAAAAGGACAGCTTTGCTCTCTTCTCTGGTTGCTTTGTTAACCGAAGACAGTACATGTGGGTGCTGGTTGATCCCAGAATGAGGGTGCTGATGGGCCAAGTTCTGGTTAACTGTGTAGCATTTAAAAGTAGAAACTGCTCTTAAATGGAGGGAACCACACAAAGGGGAAAGGCTGGGTTCCCAGTCAGACCTTAAGATAATAATATCTGGTGAGATCCGGAGAGTGTCCACCTAAGTCATTTCAATACCTGGAGGATATAGGAGGTAGTTTGACTGCTGTTTAACAACTGAAATTCAGTAGCCTAGCTGCTCTGAATGGAAGACTTTGTTTCTTATTGTCAGCAGGGTCTCCTCCCTTGTGGAGGCGAGAGCATTTTTCCAAGCGGGCTAAAAAGGCAGAAGGAAAAAAATGCTGTTCATTCGATCATATGCAGCCTCCAGAAGTGACAAGGAGGAAAACAAATATTCTTTGCTCTCCTTCCTTATTTAAGTTATAATGCAAAGCTGAAGGAACTGAATATAAATGCAAGTAAAAATGTGAACTGTCATATTTTTCAATTAATATTTGTTGACAGGGCGGCTATATTAGCGACTGAGTTTCAGGCTTGTTACCAGTAGCAACCCCTCAAAGCGGCTAACTTAAGAGCCTAATTCATGTGATTTATTAGTTGTTAAATCTCAGTGCAGACAATACAGCAGTATTTTATTAAAAACAAATTTGCATTCAGAGGTTAAAAAGATGTGATGGCAGCTCATTCTGAATTTAATTCTGCAACCTGGTATTAAAAAACATGCAGAGTGAAGGGGAAAAAATTAAAAACTATGAATTTGCTTTGTTGATTAACATTTACTGCAGGTGAATTGTAAGAACGTGCGTTTGGGTATCTATATCTGTATTTTACATATATGCACACTATAAATATTAAATTAAGAATACAAACTTCTAAAAATCCTGTGAAGCCTTGACTAGTTCTGATACTTTTTTTTTTTCAAATAGATATGATCAAGTCAATTCACACATCCACCTAATGGTATTTTAATGCTGTTTTTAACAGGTTTTGTCAGGTTTTTAGAAGGCTACTATATTGTGTTAATAACAAAAAGGAGAAAGATGGCAGATATTGGAGGTCATGCAATATATAAAATAGAAGATACAAATATGATCTACATTCCAAATGACTCTGTAAGAGTCACTCATCCTGATGAAGCCAGGTAAAGGGTGGTGCTAGGTACATTTCTTTCACGGGTTTCCTTCTGTTAGTATGTGATTCAAGCCATTTATATTAGTTGATAAATTAGTGTGGCAGAATGGAGATTTGGGCCGCAAGTTCTGTGGCCTCTAACCTGGAGGGCAAATACGGTTCATATAGTCTTTCAGAGCTTTTGTCAACATCTCCATGTCACTTAAGTGCCAAAGCTACATCCTAGCAAATATGCTCCAGGAAGCATCCAACTTTAATATTTTACTTACAAGGGCAATATAATGCTAATACTGTTTTAAATTGTTTGGGGTACTCTTCTTTTTTTCAATCACTCTACTGTTATGTGAATCTCACCTAAGATCTTCTATGTCCTTCAAGAAGTGCTAAGTGGATGATTTAATTAATGATTCTGTGCTGTCAGAATCTTGTGGGTAGATGTGGTGGTGTAAAGGGTGATAAACATAGAATAAACATAAAATATGATACAATTACCAATGTGCAGTGGATTTGTTTTGTCAAGTGTAGCTTCTTTTTCCCTTTCTCTAATTCCTTTCTCTTTGGGCCTTTGATTGGCAGGTAATTTTGCACAAAATGTACAATTACATTGTGACATAGTTTTTATCGGTGGTGGTTTTTTTAATAAAATACCAGGCAAGTGGTATAAACAAACTCCTTCACAGTCTGGATGAACTGTGAATAACATAAAACATGTGATACATTATGATAAACTGATAGCAGATAGTAAATCAAGCTAATGGTAACTATTCAAGAAGTTTCCACATTAAGGTATGTCTGACAGGATACCTCAGTCTTCTCTCTTAGAACGCAACAGAACATATTATCTGAGCTATTAAATAAACATTTATGGTGCTAGATATTTTTTCTTCCATAGACAATGTTATGGTTTCTTGTGGGAATTTTTAAGTGACAGGTTGAAGTAGATATTTTTTGCTACTGTGGAAGTCTTTAATTCTTGTATAATACTGTTGGGAATTTCCTTGTATAGAAAATTCAACTACAACTGTATCTACAGCTACCTGAAAAAACAATCTCTGAGGCACAAGAATCAAACACTGGATAAAAAAAGGCTATTTGATTTATTTCGTCCGGATGCTGACATTCTAGTGGAATTACCTGACTATCAAAACACTCAATTATAGTAAGATAGTCAGAAAGCTTATGACAAAAATCAGTATTTTATGTGTAGCTTACTTGCTGAGGTCCTGTGAATAACTTCTTGGGGTCTGTCTGGTTAAAGTGGTAATTTTCACTTTAATCTGCATTATTTTGTTAGGTATCTGAGAATCTTTCAAAACGTGGACCTTTCTAGCAACTTCTATTTTAGGTAAGTGTTAGTGAGTCCTTTTAAAATATGAATACTTACACCTCCTGTAAGGTTCTGCTTTTGGATCTTCATACCCAACATCTTCAGCTTGGTGTTCTAAGGAAATAAGATGTATATGATCACACTGCTTGTCCATTTTTCTCTGTCTTTTGAACCTGCTTCCTACTTCAACAAATTTAATAGGAATGAAGTCTTCAAGATATGAAGTTAACAAACTATAGGAACATTAGTGACAGGGTAGGGGGCAGACACTGAAATTAGTGTTTCCGTTATTTTTTCTGCTTTGTCTCTTGAGCGCTAACGTTGTACAGCCTAGCATCTAGCTTCTACTCTAGTTTCTGCTTGAAGATGACAAGTGTATACATTTTTCTTGGTTGTACTTGGAAGGGAGAGAAGAGGGTTCTATAACATTCTTACATTTTAAGAGCTTAATTTAACTTACTCATGGCTGAAGTCATGGCAGGTTTGTTTTCTGCATAGTTTTCATAGAAATCCTGACTGGTATTATAAGAAAAGTTATAAGAAAACATTTGTTCTAAGGTGAAACTGGAGGAAGAGTCTGAACAAATCTTTTATCAGGGTAGTATTTAAAGGTTCTGTTAGATGCAGAACTGAGCAAATGATTGACAAAAGTTTCTCTCAAATAGGTAAGTATATCAGGTGCTTATAATGGAAACATAGTGAATACTTAGGCTAAACTTCATGGTCATCGGTCATAAATCGAAATGTCCAATGTTAGCATATATATTTTATTCATTAATGAATATCTAAAGGAGGACTAGTAGTCGCTGAAACTGCCTTAGGCTAAAATGGAAATCTGTTTGTATTTCTGATTTAAGTGTTGTGTAACTTTGACTTCTCCTATGGGAAATGAAACCTAGTGACTTAAGAATTTTAGCAATTAGTGTAGAGTGCTGCCAGTATGAGAGATGCAGAATTTGTTACCGTTAGAGAAATAATAAAAAGCTTTTCCTTATTCAGCAGCTGCTATTTTAGGATCTACTTTGCTGCAATCACAGATCTGAGGGCAGATTACGGTTTTTGTGGACCAAATCTTTGGCTGTTATGAGTTCAGGTAATAAAGAGTAGTGCAGAATTCTCAGAAAAGTGAAATTGTTTATATATGTGGATATCTCTGCCAGAATAGCTGTTTTTGATTTCCAAGACTGCTTTTTGGGACATAATGAATTAAGCTTCTAGATAACCTTTGTTCAAAAAGTGTGTTCAATCTTCATTTGTAATAAGAGGATAAATAAAGTTTCAGCTGTCATACTGTAAACAGTTTGTGAGTTTTTAAAGCTTCTTTTTTAAGTCATCAGTATCGTTTGCCAGGAGAGAATCAGCATTTGTGTATCTTATTTAAATGTCATTTTTCTTTGTGGTTAAAATAGTACTGTTTGTGTTAACTGTAAGTACAGGTGGACAATAAGGGCTTTCAGAAAAATCCTGTGCTTCTATAATTATTAATAAATGTGAACTTTATATCAGTTACAGCTATGATCTGTCACACTCCCTTCAGTATAATCTTACTGTTCTGAGAATGCCCCTTGAGATACTAAAAACTGAAACAACTCAGGCTCGGCAAGAGAGTTTTGATATATTTGAAGATGAAGGACTTTCAACCCAGGGTGGAAGTGGTAAGTAAATCTATCTAAATTGATGTGATTGGTCATGAGTACAGTTAGAATATATTCCACCTAAGTTTTCTTTTGAGCAACCTTCAGCTATTCTGTATTGATCCAGTAGTCTTATAACAGTTGTGAGTTAATAAAAGATTACCTAAAGTACCAATTACAGATATTTGAATGTGAACAATGCAATTTCTAGAGATGATTAATCATTGTTTTGGTAATTTACATGGCAACTCAGGGAGATAATTGAGCATGCTGTTATTTTTCAGCAATTGATTATCCAACTGTCTTGCAAGAATCCCAACAGGAATGAATTACAAACAAAATTGGAAGCAATAACTAGTTAAGAACTACAAATAAATCTTGTTTTGTTTCATATTGGAAAATATTGATGACGAAGGAATTGTATGAAGTTAGTATTAACTTTATGTAGTAAGCACTATCAGGAAGTCTAAGAAAGATTACTGCTTTCATTTGAAAACTACAGCTTCCCACTTTGCGTCTTATGTGCTCAGAAGATTGTAAAGATGACCAGAACTGTTCTCACCCTTAGGCTTTGCACTTCCAAAAAGAAGTCCCCTCCAAAACTCTTAAGATTGTATTCCAGTTTGTTGAAGTGGATGTGTTTAGGTTTTACTGCTCTGTGATTTGTACTGAATGTCTAAACGCACTGCCAACAAATTGGCACGGTAATTTTTTTGACTGTTTGGTGTCGTTTATGTGACACTACTTTTCCCCATGTTTAGTTATATAATGTCTGAAATAACAGTGCTACCTTTGATACATATTTAGTGAATACATTGCTGTGAAGGTGATCTCAAGCAGCTGTGGAGATGTAATTAAGCTTCTTTTGGTGGCATATAGACCACAGTGTCTTTTGAATGCATAGATATAGATTAAGTTTGAATGTGCATTCACCACCAGTGAGACACATCTTTGTTAGATCATGCCTTGACTTTTCCAAGGACTTCAATGTGAATCTTTGCTGATGTACCTAACCTTCATTAATAGGAGACCAGATTTATTAGACTAGGCAGAGCCAGGGATGTAGTCTGTGCTGCCTCATGCTCAACTACACAAGGAAGTCATTAAAAATTGCCTTGTTCTCAATTCTTGCTCATCATTTTAGTGTGTCATTGCCTAACTGGCTTATGTTTGGTTCATATGCTAATTCCATTTGATCTATCAGGCAGACTTCCTTTGCTGGCTGCAGTACTGGGAGGCCGTGCTGCAGCGCTAGATTTCCCTCTGCAAGAGAAATGGTAGGTGGCTGTCCTCATTGCAGTGTATTCTGACACCACTGCAGGTGAGAAGCAGGAAATGCTCCATTTTCTCTCTACCCCAAAATGCCAGAGGGAAGTCCCTTACTCCCAGCTAAAGTTGTAGATGCAGTACAGAGAGCCCAGGATGGTTAAGGTCCTTGTCAGTGCCAGGAAGCTTATTCCTATTCATTGACTTTTAAGTGAAGATGGACTTGTAGTGTAGATGCAGATATTGCTAGCATCCAAAAGGAAGTGAAATTAATCCTACTTTATGTGTCTGAATTATAGTTCCATGACGAGTCACCGTTTGGAGGGTGCGATATACTGTTGTTCTCCTTTTCCTCTACATCTTTCTCTGCTGATGTGTACAGGTTGCACTGACACTGACCACCAGCCAGCACAAAAAATACTATTCCATCCTGCATAGCACGTCAATAATTTTCAGTAGTACATTTTCTGTTCTCTCTATTTCTTTGGAAAAAGTAATGAATGCTTAGAATATTACATCGATAGGAATTCATATTTTTGATTGTTTTTCCCCCCCAAAGACAATAAGTAATAGCAACTTGTGTCGAGAAAGCAAGATCAGAGAAATGTTCTTTGTACTACATGTAGAAGGTATTGAAGTATGTGAGGTATACTGCACTTCATAAGGGAATTCATTCTGCAGTCTTAAACTGCTACTTTCAATCCCTACTTCTCTTTTTCCCTTCTTCTCTTCCACAAAGAATTATTTCTGAGGCAGATGAATTTTATCTTTATTAGGGAGACTTAAATTTTGCCATAGGAGGGAAGGTTTTGACTGTAGTCTTCAGAGTGGATCTGCTGATTATGTTGCTTATGGCATGGAAGTCCCAAGTCACTTAGCCTTGGGACAGTCATCATTTTCATATGGTAGCCCAGTGGCTCTCTAGGTTGTGGACAGGAGCTCCTGTGTAATCAGGTTCTGAAATCAACCATGATCATGAAGTCATCCTTATAAAACTAGGATGGATTTCTGTTCTCCTGTCGTAGGAGATTTTCCTTCCTTCTCTTCTCTAAACAGATTATTTTCTATGGGACGCAGTACTCATCTGTTCGTTTACAGTATTGTTATTTACAGTTGTATTAGTCATCTATAGCCTTTTCTAGTCAGTGGCAGGACATGGGTTGTGAATAACCTCATCTTTGTTAGGTCTTTAAAACAGGTCAGATGAATTGCATCTAGAAATGCTTATTCCTATTCATTGACTTTTAAGTGAAGATGGACTTGTAGCGTAGATGCAGATATTGCTAACATCCAAAATGAAGTGAAATTAGTCCTACTTTATGTGTCTGAATTATAGTTCCAGACGAGTCATGATCCAGTCTCTGTCAGATTGCTCCTTACTTGATTGGTAGCAGTTTCCTATAGACTTTACCATTCATGCACAAAAAAAATTGTCAAAGATCAGATGGGACAAGGCAGTGATAAGTTTGTGCTAACTGACTGAGATGATTTTGGCCCTTAGTCTCCTAAAGGTGTGCTAGCAGGCGCTAATATAATTTCTTATCAGGACATAATTTCCAGAGCCAAGACTTGATCTGACCTGATCACTTCTGCCAATTTTAGACATACCTTAATAAAGCAGAAAGTAATCAGGTAGAAGGAGTCCTTAAAATGCAAAATGTTTCATATGTGCAACTGAGAACAGTATTAGACCTAGCAGAGCTTCTTGTACCTAAAATCATAAATTCTGTTGTGCTTCTGACACGTGAGATTAATATGTGACGTTAGGGCTCACTGTGGAGTATAGTTAAAGTGAAACTTCTGTACAGTCATAGTCAATCAGATTTTCTCTCATTTTATGTTCCTCACGTGCTTTTTGACACTGTAGTTGGAGACTGTTCTTTGCAGTGTCATCCCTCTAAATTTTGTGGATTGAGTACCCTTTATACCTTGGTATTATCAAGACAGTTGACAAACTTCAGATGTTTTGAGGCTAGGTTGCTGAACATCTTGACCATAGGAACAAAAATGGTAGTGAAGCCAAATTCTAACCTGAGGTGTTTTAGTACTGCATGTAATCCAATTTATTGCTTTCCTTTTTTCTTCCTGGAGAGGGATGGCTGTATATTTTAGCCGGTTCAAGGTCCTCCCAGAAGGACGAAGATTTGTGGTCAAATCCAGTACAATGGAAAACAAACTGTCATTGCAGAAACTTTAAGGGAATCGCCGAGTACTGCTACTTGCAGAACACATGCCCTTCAACGCAAGTTCCAGTACAATTTGGGAGAGACTGTCCACTTGCTTCAAAAATTGTTGGTCACAAATAGGCGAAACAGCAGGATGGAGAAAGCCTGCTAATATTTTAACTGTTGACTGCGAACTTGATGTGGAAGGCAGCTTAGATGCAACATTTTGATCTGTACTTGTATTGGTTAGACAGAGGTTCAACAGACTCTTCATTACTGCCCTTGCTTGTAGTCACCCACTGTGTAACCCCTGTTACATAGAAGATACAATACACACAGAAATATGATAGAAAAGGCCCACTTGCCCTCCGTTAGCTGTGGCTCTTTGAGATAGTCAGTGTGAATTGCATGACTCGCCTTCCATCTCTTCTAACACAAAATGAGTCTTCCAAGGTGGTGAAGAAGGCCTACAATGATCCTGCCTTCTGTATCTTCAGAGGGGACGCTCTAAGTTTGACAAACACACAGTTAAAATAAAGAAATGGGCAGAGCAACACCCTGCCCGAGTTTATGCATGATAAACTTGGACACCTGGAATAGACCTACACTGACTGCAGCTCAGAGAATGACAATGAATGTCAGCTAAGTAACTAGTCATCTTTGGCACTGGAACTTACTGCATTACATAGTTGTATGCTATCTTTTGAAAACCTAAAAGAAATGCCATATATACTGTGCCCTAAATCTGATGGAAAAATTTAAATGTAGTCAAGTAATATCTTTTATTTAAAGAAAAGGAAAATAAAACCCTACCCAAAGCCTCCTCGCTCCCCCCTGCCCTGCAAAAATATGTTACTATAGAATAGATTGCCAAACATTACGATGGCAAAAATGACCATTGAAAGTAGAGGGAGCAATAATTCCCCTGCTGCAAAGGCTCTCACCTGCAAGATCCCTCATAAATCCATACAGCAGCACCTTCTCTTCAGTTTCCTTATGAAAGCATTGGAAGATAAAGATGCCATAGCCTTGACCCCATCAGCAGTGTGCTAACAGCGCACAAAACTGTGTTACCAGCGGAGGTTAGCATCATATCTGTTCATATGTCAGCATGTGTGCAAAAAATAGCTGTCTGTCATTCAAAGAACAATCAGGTTGAACTTAATGTGTCAAAGTAATGCTGCTGGAAATGCGAAAGAGGACAAATTGCTCACAAAGCTACTGTGGCCAAGTTCCACTGAAAGCACGCAGTCTCTCACCACAGTGGTTACAGAACCTTGATTTTTCCTGGGCTATTGGTATTGGGTTACTAGGTAGGAACAGTTTGTTCAACAGGTGCATTTTCACCTTCAGTCCTTTAGGAGAACTCATCTTTTCCTTTGGCTGCAGAACATCTGGCTGCTGTAATTTTTCCCATAACAGGGATTCACAACCTCAGATCTTTTCTGTATTATCAAATCTTCTTGCTGTTCCCATGTAGAGGTCTCTTCAGTGTTAGTAGTATGAGAAACTTCTACAAAGTCTACTGTGACCTTACATTGAAGGTACACAAATACTACAGTGACTGGCAATTGTAAAAAATTATAAAACTCCATAAATGCTGGACTTTAGCATGTGCTTAAAGTTATCTGTGTTTGGCAAACTTCAGGGATGTGTGTAAATGATTTGCTGAGTTGAAGCCAAGGGAAATCAAAATTACGGTCAAATGACCGGAGTTTAAGAACAATCCGATGCAGTTGAGATTGTTTTTAAATTGCTAATGCATTTTTATTGTAACAATTTCCTAGGTGTGTTTGGGATTTGCAGTAAGCCTTATGAAAAGTATGTGTGGAATGCCAAGCTTCTGGAGGTAGTGAAAAATACTGTTCACCGTGATTGGTTGCTGTATATTATTCATGGCTTCTGTGGGCAGTCAAGTATCCTTTTACTGTTGTAACAAATGTTGGTCTATCAATTTTAGAAATTTGACCATATGAAATATGCTTAATTATTTGTTTGTTATGTAAATATTTTTCAGTTTCATAATTTTTTGCTGGCTTTTTATTTTGGCGTTCCTGTAGTTTGTTTTCATTACTTTCCATTTTCATTGCTTGGTTTTATGACCAAAGAAGAAATAAAGTTACGATCTTGTAATGTGGCCTTCACATATGTAGAGTGCATTCTCAGTGAGGCGCACTGCTTAGAAGCATGGGGATCGGTAGTAGATCCTGTCAGAATTTGACAGGATTTTAAGGCTCAGCTGCGTTTTTACAGAATTCTGAGAAAGGGATGAAAACTTGAAGAAACAGAACTGAATTGCTAATATCAAAATGTTCTCTTACTAATCTCCTTAAAAATAAGAATTATAACAAAAATTTTCAGAAATCCTTGCTTTTACACTTTCTGCTGAAAATGTTGATAAAACTTCATGATTTCTGTGCGAAGAGACTTAAGAAAATATTAGAACATTTGCATTTCTTTTCCTGAGTGTATATTATTTAAAATAGTTCTATATACGTTGTAGAACTAGGAGAAAAGGCCCAAACGCCTATCTCGCTCCAAAGAAATGCCATCTCAACGTCTTAGTTAATAAGCATCTCATATATTACCGAGACGCTGTATTTTAATCGTCAGCAACGTCATGTTAATTCAGCAGCCTGTCAGCAAAAAAAACTGCGGAAGGAAATACAATTATGAGTTTAAGGTTAGGGGTGGCTTTGCAAACTCGGTTTTGCGTTTCCATGATTGCAAAGCTGTGGGCATTGGTTGGGTTCCAGGCAGAAAGTTAGGTCTTTTTTTTTGTGTACTACTATTTGATCTCGGGTATCAATCACTTAACCAAAGGGGCAGCTATGGATGTGACCACCAACATTATGCTTACAGATGCTATGTGAGTGACTTAATAGTCTTTGCATTAGGTATTTGATGAAAGGATGTCTCCTTCCCTCTTTCTTTGCCTCCGTTATGCTAAGGAAGCTGTACAAAGTGGCAAAGTCACGCTAGACAATGTGATTCTATCTTTTTAGTTTTAATAAAAAATAAATAGCTTAAAAGAAAGCCCCCACTGCTTCTGCAGTGGCTTGTCTTTGTCTTTCAGTTGTTGTTGTTACTTAAGTAGTTGCAGTTCATCTGCGTTTTCCAGACAAATAATTAGAAGATGTCTAACATAGCTGATCTGAAAACAGGAGCTCCCAAGTTTTAGTCACAGTTTTTTCAAAAGCAATATTTGTGGCCTTGGGTGAATCTTGTACCTACTGCACCTCCTTTTCACTTTTCAAAATGGAAATATTTCTCTTCCTTATGTTCTGAAAAGTAGTTGTTACATTGTAATGTAAATTCCATTTTCAAAGCTCTTTAGAAATGATTATTGAAAAGGGAATTGCACTCTCCCAAATTCGGCAATGCTATTCATCTCTGTTGAAGACATTTTAGTAAAACAGATGTTTCATTTTGATGATATATCTTTTTAGATTTGTAGAACTTTATGCAAGCATAAATAAGTGAAAGAAAAATTTCATGTGATTTGTCAACCTTAACTTCTCTTTCGAGAACTGCTGATTTATGGTCGGCCAATATACGTCACTTTGATAGCCAGAAGATCCAGCAAATTTGCTGGAACACGTTTTCTGAAACGAGGAGCAAACTGTGAGGTAAATAAAAGGTGGTTTCATTGGGGGCGTTGTTTTGCTCTGGTTTTTGTTTTGTTTTGTTTTGTTTTGTTTTGTTTTGTTCCAACTGAATGAAAGCTTGACCCTGACTGACCAGCGAACTGAAATGTTTTAGAGGGTTTTTAGGGCTTTGGTTGTGAATTATGTTATTAGATACCCTTATCACAACTGTCATTAAAGTTTGGAGAAGGTAAAGCTGTTCTTAAAATAGTAAGAACTTTGCTGGCAGTTCTTTTGTTGCACTTAGAAATAATGATACCATTTCTTAAATAGAGAAGTAAAAATCTGGTAGACTACAGTTAGGGACAAATGGAATTTAACCATCAGTAGTGTCGTCACTACCATGATTTGGTATCTGATAGGTTAATTGTACCCTGGTTGGTTGTAACAGTCTGTTCTCTAGCATGCATGCAGCTCTGAAACGTAATGTCTGCATCATATATGTATTTCTAACTGTTTTAGGGGGACGTTGCTAATGAAGTAGAAACTGAACAAATACTGTATGATGCTTCAGTTATGTCATTTTCTGCGGGGAGCTATTCTTCCTATGTTCAGGTTCGAGGATCTGTCCCCCTGTACTGGTCTCAAGATATTTCAACTATGTTGCCTAAGCCACCCATAACATGTATGTACAAGTGTTTCTTTCTGGTAGATTATGGTTAGCACTGTATGCTAGTGGAAGATCTGAGAGAATAAGTGAAGGTTTAACTTGCAAAATTGAAAGAATTGTCTGTGCGTTTGTTCTTTGGGAAGCTATAATTTAAAGTAAGCCAATATTCTTTGTAATAAACATCATGGCATATAAACATTTAACCATGTAAACAGCTGCATTTGATGAAACTGAATAGGAAAAAAAAAAGTCTCCATATTAGACTTCACGATCAGAAATGGAATATGAACAAATTGTTTGAAAACGTCAACTTTCTTTGTACATATTATCTTGTATACAAACAGTTACTTATGTTTGCCTAAAAGTACTGTGGATATAATTTTGAACCTATTGAAACTAGTGGAAAAAGTCTGCACTAAATTAAATGGGGCCGGAGTGATCCATGAATTGCATGCTCAGCATTTGAGCATGCATGTATATATTACTGATTTGTGATTTGTAACAGTTTCAGCTAAATTCCACCCCAAATTTTAAAACAAAAATGATTGATAAAGTGCAACAAAAACGCCAACAAAATTAAGCACTGCTAATCCCCAGAATATTTTTAAAAATTCCTCTAAAAATTTGAATATTGTACGCTTGGAGTAGAACAATGTTCCTAACATTTGTTTAGCCACAGGTATATTTTGTTACTAGCAGCTTCACAAAGCAGAAGGATATCTTCTTGCTCTCCTTAATTATTGAAGAGAGAGTTGGGTTTTTTTGTAAGCAGCTTTGTATGAAAAGAAGAATGTGTATAATTATATCGTTTTTATCAGAGAACTGGTAAATATTTGCAAACAGTACTTTAAGGGGAAATGATTTAAGTGATTCTGAGATTCTCTTAGTAACTCTCTGAATATTCTAATACATCTGTTGCAGTGGACCAAGCAGACCCTTTTGCCCATGTTGCTGCTCTTCACTTTGACCAAATGCTTCAACGATTTGGCTCTCCTATTATTATTTTGAATCTTGTGAAGGTAAAGTATTTTGAATATGTTCTGTATGTTTTCTAATTTTAAACGTAATACTAATTTCTGTAGAGTCTCTGTATTTTAGGTTGTGCTCTGAGCTCATAGGAAGAAAGTCTGCCATTTGTAAGCTGAGAAATCTCATTCTGTTCAGGGTAGTATATAACTTCGTAGCTGCTTCCACTACAGCCCTACAACAAAGAGCAATTTCCAGTTTTTATAGACTTATTACAATAACATTTCACTGTTGTTTTCAGGTCCTTGCTGTTACCACTCAGATGGGAGCAAGTCCAAATAAATTTACCACTAAATTTAATTTAGCTCTAAAACATGCTAAAATAGTATGATTCCATGCAAAGTGATGGTTGTAGACACAGAAGACTGACTTTGCTCTTTGAAATGTTTGATAAACACTTACTTCTCCTTTGTTTGCTCTGTCTGGTACAGTCATGGCTGTGTGGGAGGAGAGGAAAATGCAGCGTCTCGGGCTAGGTATAAGCACTGCCGGTGGCAGCAGTGGTGGACTAGTGTGGGGAGCCACTTCGTTGCTGCAGTAGTTCACTTAGCTGCTATGGGGCTGTGGTGCACAGCCTGGATTCTGGGTGTTACGTGTTGTGTTGGGTTTTTTTTTTTTCTCCTGTTCCAATCCAGCCATTTTATGTGGTGGCACCTCAGTCGGGCAGGTTTGACCTTGCCCTTGGATGGCAGAGGCTATACTGGCCAGTGTTAATAGGACGGGAAGAAAGGACTCCAGCCCCTTGGAGTCTACCCTGTCTTAAATAAAACTTGTAAAAAAAAAAAATTCTAAACATCTGAATACTGTGTCATGAGAGAATAGCAGGGTAATGTGATTTCTGCCTTGTAGCGAATAAAATGATATTTAAAGAGAAAACTATTTGTATCTGGTCTACTACAGCAGCTAAAATGTGAACATTGTCTAGTTTTTTTTTTAATTCTAGAATTTCTGTTTGTTTTTGGTAATTTTTCTGATGTTTGGAAAGTAAAGGTTAGTATATCTTATTGCAGTTTCTTTAATGAACTGTTTTCATATTTGAGCTTATAATGATTTGTTTTGCCTTGAATCGTATCTTATATTTCTTTTTAGCCTTTTAAAAATATTTATCATTTTGTGTAACATGTTGTAGAACTGTATGCAGATGAAAAAAGGACCTTTTATGTGCATGTAGGATCAGTTCCTAGTATAAAAAATAGGGGAAAATGGAAAAGGAAGGCTTTTAAATAAGTTTTAATAAATGGCAAATATAACCTGTTTTCTATTTCTAGAAGCTCTTCTGTTTGGGATTGCTTTTAAGACTGTCCGGGAGTCTGTGGAATTAACTTCAGATAGCGTTTGTTGACAAGAAAATGATTTTGTCTCTTTCTTACAGTCCTAGCTTTCAAAGGCCATTGTTAGTGCGTGTCCAAGCTCACATGACCTCGACACGTGAATCATTATATGCTTTTAGTCAGAGGTCTTTTTATGCGGTGGCCGAAAATACAATTCTTTCTCTCGCTCTGTAGATGCTTAATATTAGGTTGCTAAAATTAATGTTCCTTTATCATTTCATGTACCGCTTCACAGAAAAAAAAAAGTGTATGTTGTTGCTTTTACAGAAATGCTAAGCATTTCTATCTCCGGTAGTAGTTTTATTATTTGATTTCTTAAAGGCTAATGAAACACAAATCCATATCCTACTTTATCTATCTATCCTACAAACTTGGTAACTAGTAACAAAAGTATTAGATTTCCTTTTATTCGTTCATAGCTGCTTTTATGTAATTTTAAAATAGTTTTTGTAGTATAAGCTCAGTATAGGTTTTGGGTTGGATTAAGTTGAGAGAAAAGCCTTGTTAATATATGAAGTACCTCAACATATGGTATATTCATAGAATGGGAATATAATTCTATATTTTTTTTAAATCCTTGCAAAGCTGTTGGTCTCCATTTCCCATCAGTAATGGAGAAAAATTTACCTGGATCCGTGTCCCCGTACTGCAAGAGCGAATGGGGTGCGTTCCCTTTTGTAGGTCTTTTTCTTTCTTTTGTCTCAGTCCGTTTCCCCCATGTTTCGGCTTTCGTTTCCTTGCGCTCTCCTTCCCTGTCGGAGGGTTCTGTTTCTCAGCAGGTGATTGTGCACCGGTGGGATAGGTGACTCGTTGCGAGAGATCAGTTGTTAGAAACCTAAAATGTTTAGCTTTTTCTCTTGTTTTTAATGTAATTGGACTAGTTATGCAATAGTGCCTGTAGAAGTGCCTGCTGCGTTTTAAATGTCTAGCACTAAATTTCTGCATTTCAATTTCTGAATTTTTTTAGCATGGCTAAAACACCAAAACCCATCTTTGAAGTGAAGCAAAACTGCTCATGCTCAGTTTTTGCTCAGAGGCTTTGAAAGAGTAACCAAGTTTGCTTTGTTACAGCCAGAGCTGTGCACAGATTGAGAACATACTAATATACAAAGGGGTGTGAGGGCTATTCTATAGCACATATCCTAATATGTGCTGCTGAATGACACTGGTTAATTGTCCATTTATTGTGTTTTATTAACAGACAAAATCTTTGCTAGATCTTCTCAAGCTTCCAGTCTAAGGGATTCTAGGCTGGGAAGAGCTTGTGAGAGAGCTATTTCGTTTAGATGCTCCAAGCGTTGTTCAGCTTTTTTTTTTTTTCTCTCTCATCTAGTCCTTGTTATTCTTCCCAAAAATATACCTAGGAAAAAAGTGAAATAACTTTTTAAACAAAGGTGCAAAAATGCATAAAATATGCCCCCCCACCCCTAAGTTGTGGTGTTAGCACAGTTAAATCTTACTTGTTGCTGATGTGTAGTATTGCTGTGACATTTCTGATTAAATATTTTGCTTAATAAAATATTATTAATATAAGCCTGATACTGCTTCTCAAATTCAACTGTAGAATTTTCTAAAGTTTTTGTGCATTTTTGAGCATAAATGGTTAATTTTGTTTATGCGTTGTTTCCACATCATCTATATGAAACAGAAAACACTGAAGTCTAGATTAAAGAGTCTACAGTAAAGAGCATTTCTGGGTATAATATGTATATGCACATACATGTGTGTATGTATACATATGTATACAGGTTACTTATACATGTTAATGAAAATACTACTGTTAATTTGCTTTTCTTTTCGTTAAAGGAACGTGAAAAAAGAAAGCATGAAAGGATTCTTAGCGAAGAACTTGTTGCTGCTGTGACATACCTCAACCAGTTTTTACCCCCAGAGCATGCAATTATATATATTCCTTGGGACATGGCCAAATATACAAAAAGGTAGAAAAGACCTTCCTTTGTTCTAGTGCTCTTAGCCATGGCATAAGTGACTGACTGAATTCTGCTGAGTGTATCTCTTTTCAGTTGAATATAGCTTATGAGAGAGGAGAGAATTTTATTAAGATCTATGCACAGAATACGTTTATATTTCAGGATTTGGTTTAATTCCAAATTGGAGTAAGGCCTGAAAACTTTCAAATATTCTGCAAAGGAAATTTAAAAAAAACACCAAAAAAGCCAACAATATTCCCTTTTTATTTTGAATTAGTCAAAACATTGCATTTTAAGATGTTTGGTCTTGAAATTATTTTTGAGTTATGAAATTTTGAAAATCAAGAAGTTTCATATCAATCAGTCTCTTCTGTTACCTTGTCCAGAATGAAATAAGAAGTTATAAAGCATTTACATTTTTGCACGAACAAATAGGGAAAGGGAAATATATATTTAGTAAATGTTTACTTCTATAAATTTGAATAGTAGAATGCTGTACTAGTATCATATAAAAATGATGAATGTTTTCCTAAATGTGGAGATACTTACAAGGAATGAACATTTTAAATCTGTAGGTCTGGATAACTACTCTTACGGAACGCACAACCCAGTTGTAAAATTCTCTGACCTGCATATGTCTACTATGTCTTTTAATGCCAAAAATTCTAGAAGCATGGTAAGAATTGTTGTGTCAGCTGTGAGGTATCTGGCACAATATCAATCTGAGTGAAAAAATGAAAAAATTGGTATAATTCAAAGGGCAGGAGCATAATTAATGTTGGTCGATAACATTATATGAAAAAGTTTTGCAAAGCAATGCTTATTCAATATTTGAGATTACAAACGTGGTTGGTAAAGGCTTGTCATGTAGAAGTAAAAGACTATTGTTGTGAAGTTTGATTTGATTTCACGCTGCTTTTTTCCCCCCCCTAAAAATGGCATTGTACACAGTTGGGTGTATGTTCAGTTGTCTGTGTTATGGTTAAATAACAAATCTTAAAAAAAGGCTAGCTCTCCTTTCAGAAGACTTGTCCAATGCAAGTTACTGGATTCCATATAGACAGAGGTTGATGAAGCTTAATTATCTGTCATATATAGGAAATGATATTAGGTGATCAAAAGATGCCCTTTCTAGCTTTAAGCTTCTATCTATATTTATATACCTATCTGTCCTAATACAGGTATAAAAAATACTTAAGAGTGCTTTGAACAGGATTAAGTCTTTATGCAAGCCAGAGAGATGTAAGAATGGAAGATAACGTTCATCTGTGCTTACAGAATTTACAGTTACAGGAATACTGAGAACCATCTTTCTTCAACATATAGTTCTGAAGTAACTTTTCTAGAAAATAGTGTCGGTGGAAAAGTTCCAAAAGATTGCTTCCATCTCAGTGTAAGCAATGCTTAAAAAGAAAATACACACACACACACACACACACACACACACACACACACACATATATATATTTGTATTACTTGAAATGTAAACGTTGCATTAAAATCTTTGAAAATGAAATTACTTGTAAACCGAAGTTAATCTCCGTTATGGATGGATGCTCTGATCTGAACAGAAAGTGCGGGACAACATGAAGGCCACTCTCTGAAACAAATGCTACTGAAAAAACAGTACCTTCCAAACAAAAAAAAAAAGGAGGGTATGTAATTTAACTTAAGCATATATCCTTATCTGTGATTTTTTTACTTTGCAAAGCAGAAAAAGTTCAGTAGAGAAAAACTAGTGTGGTGTGAAAGTCAAGGAGACTTTTAGAATTCTGAAGTCTTCTACTTCCAGTTTATGTAATATATTTTATTAATAAGTAAATAAAATTACTCAGAGATTGTCAGGGTCTGCTTTCTAAGTTTGTATCAAATAAGAAAACTGCAGGCGTAATCCCTGTTAGATAAATAAAGCAGTGATGCAAGTCTTTGATTAAATCATTTTTTGTATGAAAAGACTTTCTAAGCAGTGAAAATTGAATATTAATATATATTCGTTGTTTATTTTTTCTCTCTTCAGCAAACTTTGCAATGTACTTGACAGACTGAATGTGATTGCAGAAAGTGTAGTAAAGAAAACAGGATTTTTTGTAAATCGGCCTGACTCCTACTGCAGTATCTTGCGGCCAGATGAAAAGTATGTATAATTATATATATGTATGATGAAAAACGTCTCTAGCTTGGAGATTTTCCTGGAATGTTTACTGTCTGTAGCATTTTTTCTTATTTTAAGACTTCAATTAATGGGAAGATACATAATTTATTATTAAGCTATAGCAAATAGGACTGCAGTCAGAGGCATATGCTAGGAAATGCTAATACATTAGAAAATTTATAGTGAGTGTAATTATGCTGCTGTTATTTGTAATGAATACTTGCTTATTTAAAGCCATTATATTTATCACTTGTAGTCTTTGTCGTGTGCGTGTGTATATATATGTAAAGGTTTTGGGGAGTCTTTCTTTTTTTAAGTCAAGGGAATCTGAAATCTGAGGGTAAATTTCAACAAAGCAAACAAAGTTTAGAATGTAGTAAGTGGCTTCTTTTAAGGCATAGTAATAAAATACCTTTCTTAGGTATTTTAAGTTTGGTAATTTCCAGTTGATGTTATGGTATTTACACATACGTAATTGAAAGGTTTTCTTTCCTTGGAATAATGCAAACTCTGTTTGCTTAGACTACTTCAGAAGTACAGTGATTTAATAAGCTGAATTCTCTGAAGTCTTTAAAAATTCAGAAGTAAAATAGCTTCCAAATTAAAAGTTACAAAAGTTCGTGGTTCAGACTTTCAGCCTAGGGATCCAATCCATCACTACCCAAGTGGGCATTCTTATTCTACATTAAGAGCATCTTGTGCCTTTTTAGCCTAACTTTGTTTAGAAATAAACAGAACTAAAACTCAGAGAGGCTCCCTTAGGGCTTTTCTCTGCCATGCAGAGAAAACATTGCCATGTTGCAGTCACCATCTGCCATGTTGACTGCAAACTAGCATGAACTGGATTGGTGCATCCGTGTAATGCTGTGCTGTGTAGAGACAGTCTTTTGGGTGTCAAAAGCAGTATATAGGCTTGTCATAGCAGTGCTCCAATCATATAAGTTAACCCTGCTAACTTGAAAAGCTTCAGTAGTTCAGGAGTTACTTGCACTGAGCATAAATGCTTCTCTACCTCAAAATGTCATTAATTTCTGATTCGTGTTTTCTGCCTCTAAACCTATGGTGCCTGTGGTTAGGACCTGTATCTGATTGTGAGAACTGGACCATTTATGACATATGTGCCTAGAAAAGCAGCAAGAAGGGGAGATTTAAATCAACCAGCTTTTGCCACAGTGTATGTTGTGCCTCCGCCTTCCAGTCAGTGGCGTTTTACGTGCTTCAATTTTTGTGTCCTCAAGACTCAATCTGGCAGGGCTTGTGTAGCTTATATCCTGTTTTGTAGGGAGAGAAGAAAATATTTTATATGTTCTTCCCAAATTGGTTTAGCTTATGCCTTTGAATATTTCTCCCCCAAGGCTAGATTTTTTTGCAATGCAATTTAAATACATCATCTTCCTACTACATAGAGCTTTCACTGCTTTCTGCTATGGAGGGATATCAGTCTTGCTTTGTGGCAGGTTTTTAATTGTCTCCCTTTTTCACTGAGCGGACCAATATGTGTCAAGATCTGTTTGTTTGGGGTTTTTTATGATTTGTAAGTCATCCTATTTTGTTTCCATTTCAGGTGGAATGAATTGGGAGGTTATGTTGTTTCCACTGGTCGCTTGCAGGTACTGAAATAATAAATGTCATTAATTCATAGTTGCACTGAGGCATATCACCACTCCCAAAGCAACAGAGAACCCTTTGACTCAAATACCTGACGAGTGATTAAGCAGACGACTCTCATGTTAATATGTATTGCAGAATAAACTGTATTATTGTAGTCCATCCCAGGAACCCGTTTGGGAAATAGGAATTAAAGTTCTTGGACGGTGCCAGAAAACATTATGTTACTAGAGTTGTATTTTTGCTGGATGTAATCTGAGAAATACTCATATTTGAAATTTGTTTTTAATGCTACTTAGTCTGTAGCTCTACCAATGTAGTGAGAGGTAAAACAGCACCGTTTTAGCTAAGTACAAAGTACATCAGTGTTATCAATGTTAGATACAGGAGGTGGGGAATAAACATTCTTAATTCTGGTGACATATTCATACACATGAAAATGTCTGACTAAAAGGAATCTCACTTCTGCTCGATATTCTGTGTATTGTTATAATTTCCATCACTAAAAGAAAATATGACTAGAAACACTGCTTTCTTTAAGGTTAGAAAAGTGCAGGAGAATAAAGTATAGCGATTTAAATATGAATGTTATGATTTTTTACTCTGAACAGAGAGCGTATGTTTGAGAAGCAGGAATTGCTTTGAGAAGCAGGAATTGCTTTTTGACTTCACATTCATAGTTCATGTAAATTGGAAAGCATTTATCAATTCCTGTACTAACTGACCAGTGGCACATGTTCTTCATGGGCAACTGAGTAAAAGTGATTTTAATATGTTTTAAAATGAAGAAATACATGAATGTTAGCTGGATTTTAATGTTAGTCTTCCAGGTTTACCTGTATCAAGTAATAAACAAGTAAGTAACCTGTCTTCATCCGTCTGTCATCCTCAGCATGTGAGGTAGTCACTATAGGCATAGTATGTAAGCATTAGGATCACAGTTTATCTCCTCTTGGGATAGACGTCTTGTGAATCACACCCAAAAAGTGCTTCTTCACTAAGACAATAAAAGGAGTTTAAATAACTGGCTCAGATGTAGCTAGATATATTTGGGCAGAAGAATCGCCCATGCTGTTATATTAAAATACTTTTTTTTTAATCTGTTCAGATTATAAAAGAACAGGCTTTCTGTTTGCCTCATGGGATTGAAGGATGGTGGCCCAAGCAGCATTAAAGAAGAGTCTTACAGAATGTTCGTAGGTGTTGCCCAAAATATAGAAAGCTTAAAGTATAAGTACCGTAACAGTAGCACTACAGCAACGTGACAGCACACTTTGTTTTTTGCAGTAGTCATACCACAGTTGAAATTAGGACCTTCTGCACTGAAATAGCAGCACCTTTCTTTTTAAGGTAAATCTTTAGGGCTATTAGGGCTATTTGTGAGTTGAAGGAGAAATTCGGTTTGTGTGATGATAAAAGCAAGAATATTCAGGAAGTAAGCCTTAAAGCTTTCTGATGTTGATTACTTGGAGATGAAAAAACATCTTTGCTCAGGGCTTTGTGAACTGACACAAAATTCAGTATTTGAGATTTGGCGTGTCTTGGGAGTCTTGGGATAACAGGAAAAAGTAATCATGAGTATAATAACTTGATAATTTTTAAAAAAATCTCTTATTTATTTGGATTTTTTGCCAGACTGGTGTTCTCCGAACGAATTGTGTGGACTGCTTAGATCGCACTAACACAGCCCAATTTATGGTGGGGAAATGTGCTTTGGCATACCAACTCTATTCATTGGGGCTGATTGATAAACCCAATTTGCAGTTTGATACAGATGCTGTTAGGTAAGATAATTTTAATAAAGTGTGGCATGGCTTTATTTTAATTTTGTGATCAATGATTTAGGAAAAGTATGTGTTTATAGATGAAAACATAATTCTTTCTTTTGGAATGCTTTAATAATTTTTCTTCATCTAAATTTTAAAAAATCATCCATATTCTTTTTGAGAAAATCAAGTCACCTTGAAAATTTGATATTCTGAAATAGTATTTTAGTCAGCCTTTTTTTCAGGATAACTGCTCAACTTCATTCTCTTTATATACCTAAACTTAAACTGAAGAGTTTCCCTTTTAAATAAATGTAACAGATAAAAAGCTGATTTTAAAGCTTTCAGCAAATGCAGCCCAAAAATTAAAACTGCAATAAGTACATGCTTTTATGCAGAATGCCAGATTTATATTTGTGTAGAAGTACATCTTTCCTTGCTGTTTCCTGCTTTTCCTTCAGAAAAATGTGATGCTTTTTTGTTTATCAAGGAAAACTTGTTAGCATAGCTGTTCTCTCAAATCTAATATCAAGGATACTTCTTTGAGCATCCTCAAGTTATTTAAAGAACTCTCTTAGCATTTAAGTTGAAATGCTCAGGGAAAACAAAGCATAAACCTCTAAGATACTTAAAGTGTGAATATACCTCACACTTCAAAGTCAGCCTTTCCAGCCCAGTGCCAGGAGCAGTTCTGTGCTGCAGAAAAGATTTCACTCGCAGCATGCAGGCTCTGTGTGCGAGGCGGTGGCTCTGGGGTGCTGCTGGGACCCCCCTGCCCAGGGGCCAGGGTGAGCGCAGGGCCAGCTGGGTCCCTCAGGTGCTAGCAGCGCCTCTCTGGCCTCACCACATTGCAGCTGCTAGCACTCCTCCGTCCTGCAGGTTTACCTCTGGGAACAAGCAATTGCTGCTGCAAATACCAGTTGCAACCAGGGCTGTTGGCTTCTAAGTGGAGGAGGTCCGGGCTTGGCCACATCTCTTACACCCACTTTCTGCAGTGTGCTGTACAGCTGCCACTTACTTCTGTACCTCAGGCTGCACTTCTCTATCTTTCCATAGGCTTCGCTACCTCTCCCCTTCCATCCCTATTTTGGGAACCCCTGTTTCCTCCATTGTTTCCTACTGCAGTAGCCACGCTTCCAGTCCACCTTCTTCTCTCCACCTTGTTTCCTCTCCATTCTCCAGCCCTCCCCAGATTTCCATCTCTTACATAACCATGCCTACTAAGATTATGGCAATTGCTTTCTCTCTAATTTTCCTGATACCCTAATTCTCATTATCTCTCTGAAATGTAGCTATTAGCCTGGCTTAAAAGGATGCTTTTATCTGGCCGTATTTGGCTTATTTTTTTCTTTTCCATTGCATTAGATGTATGCCTTTCTGAAGCTAATTTTGTCATCTGTTGAAAGACTTGTTTCTGAATTACTGCATTCAGGATTACTGAAAAATCCTGCTTCATATTCTAGCAAATTTTGAAGATGGACATGTGCTATACTTTACCTCTACATTGTGCAGTCTTTTACTTCGACACGCTGCAGCCTTGATCCCTGACATTCTCTTACTTCCAAGTACCTGCTTCTTCCATATGCTGCCTCTTCATTGACTCTCCTCTAACTGGCCAAAGAGGGTGATCTTTAGTAGACAGTCAGCCTTAATCTAGCAAATTTTTCTGAGCAACTTTATCTTCTTCTTTTCATTGCATTCTATAACTGTCCACCATATCAATTTTGATTTTCTTGTGGGGTCTGACTGACTACAGTCCAGAAGTTCTGTTGAACTTGATTTCTGAGGCCAGCAACTTAGTTATGCTGGCCTTCCTGAAGGATGAAGAAAATGTACATCTTGAACAGTCTGATTTTGTGTCTACTGAGATCGATCTTATGGACTTTGTTTTACAGGACCATTTCTGCAAGCTATGTTTTTTTTGTCATCCCATTAAAGTGATTGTTGTCCCATCTAGGAAGTTTCATAGACAAAGTGTATATTTGCTGCTTGTTTGATTGTATATAGTTAACTACTTTTCCCTGTACAAAAGACCATACTTTCTTTACCTTGCAGCCCGAACAGTTTGAGATGATGGAAGGTTAATTTATTTCTACAAGTCTTTTCTGAGTCAAGTAAATCAACATCCTTTATGAATTTAAAGTTGTCTTCTTTCTGTGAACCTCTGTCGCAAGGTCTGTTCGTCAGTTCCTTATGGTTGACTGGAAGGATTCTGAGAGGTATCGTTCTTTCTCCTGCCAGTTGTTGCCTTGAACTAAAGTTTTTAGCTCTAAGTTAACCAAACTTTCTATCTTTTACCCCTTGCTTAAAAATAAATAAATAAATAAATCAGCAAATTGTCCTACATGACATTATGAGCTCGGAACAACTTGTATGGAGGCAAATGATTTTTTTTTAAAGTCACTAAGCAGGTGTTTCATCCTGATTGATCATTTTGTACTTGACCTTGAGCAGAAGATTTGCTGGCCAGGCATTTTGTTTTTATGAAAATTGATTTACTACTCAGATAGGTATTCCTTCTCCAGAACTTTTTGAGGAGGACTTCAGTCAAATGGTTAAGGGGTTGCTTACGCAGTACTGCCCCTTTGTTGGAAACTTTCTTAAAGGTTATGCTTTTGTTGCTGTTGTTTTGTTTTTTCTTCCCCCTCTTCTCCATTCCTTAAGGATTTCTTTCTTCTCAGGTTTTGCAGTCTATCACATGCCTGATGCCTGAATCATTGTCTTACCATACTGATGTGACATACGTTTCCAGTTTTTTTCCCTTCAGCCTTTTGACTTTACTCTCAACCTCTTCTAGCAAGATGTCATCCTTGTCATCATCTTGCTCAGGCGGGGCCATAGTTTGCAGTTCTGAGAAGCACTTTTTCAAACTGTTATCTTTTAGACTGGGTCCGATCTCCTTAGCGTAGCCATGTTTTCTGAGACTATTGTCGTATGTTTGTCATTAATAAGGGTGCTGCTTCTTGATCATCTTTATTACTTAGACTGCTCTCTCAGTATGGAGTCTACCGGCAACTTCGTGATGCTAGAGGACAGTGTTACTTTTAGCCAGTTCTCCTTGTTCATCTCAGCAGCTGTCTTTTTATACCTTCTTACCTGATGCTTTTCCAGCTCCAGCAAATTGTATCTGACTGCCCTTACATTTCTCACAGAGTCGTGTTCCTTCTGTTTGTAGCTTTGGGTCGTCATTGTCGTAATGGGAAATTTTGGAAAGTTATGTCAACTTCATTCCCAGTGGACTTGACAGAACACATAGCCTTGAGGTACTGGCATGTTCTGTCCCGTTTAGAGTATTTAAAACACCTTAGTTTGTGAAGGATTACAGTTCATTTTCTCCCTGCAAGCTAACAGGATTTTTAATCATCTCTCTGAATCTACAGAAGTGCATGTTATGTAATGTGAATATATTCTGACATACTATAAATTAGTGAAAAAGTTGGAGTCTAATACTTTTTAGTAACGATTATATTTGAATATAATTTCTAGATATTTATCTGAATAAAGAAAACAGACATGGCTTTACATTTCAATGTAAGCAAGCTAATAGTACTTCTTAATGAAACATTTATTTGTAAACTGGCAGAAGTACTTAAGAGAAAATGTATTGCTTGTTTAAACAGAAAAACAATTCATTGCCTGAGGGTACCTCTAGAGTTGTAGCGGGCTTTACCTCTAAACGCTGTTTTGTATTTTATACCTTATTATTTTGTCTCTTAAAGACTCTTTTCAACAGTTTGACAGATGTCACATTTTATTTTTCCTTCAGATTATTTGAAGAATTATATGAAGATCATGGAGACACGCTTTCTCTGCAGTATGGAGGTTCTCAACTTGTCCACAGAGTCAAAACCTATAGAAAGATAGCTCCATGGACCCAGCATTCCAAAGATATTATGCAAACACTGTCAAGATATTACAGTAATGCTTTCTCAGGTGAAGTATTTTAAGTGCTTTCTTTTAGGCCATTATTTAGGAAACAATTTACTTGCGTTAATAATCAATACTGTGATCTTATCACAGAGATCATCTATACTATAATCTCAGAATAATTCAGTAAAATCGTTTGAGTGGATATTGTGGTTTGGTTAGGTCTTTTATACCATACCCTATAAAATGCATGTTGTATTGTGCAGCCTTGTTTGGTACAGTTAATTAACTGCCGTAAGAAGTATTCGGCAAATGTGCACGTACACCTTTGAAGCTGCCAGTGACGTTCGTAGCTCAATGGAAAAGCGAGTAAACTGTTACAGAGCTTTTATATGTACATAACATATGTATATACATGTATTGCTGCATAGCTAGGGGAAGGAAGTGGTAATTTTCCTAGCAGACTGCAAGTATTTAGAAACTAACTTCAAAACAGTGGGTCAGGCACTGTTTGGAAATAGTTCAGTAACCTGTGGTTCCTTTGGCTAAAGTTATTGCTTTTGTTAGTGACAATTCTGTGTATGTGACAAAACGTGGGAGCATAGCACTGAAGTACAGTTTCTGAATGTAGTTTGTATAATTTGTATGTCATATTTGAAATTAGTGAGATATGCAGAGAAAAGGATTTGTAGATGCTAGCAAGCTTGTTTATTTCAGTGAAATGGGCTGTTATTGTTTGCCGTGGCAATAAGGCATGCTTTCATCAATTCTCATGAGCAAAAGGAAGCATGTTTGCAGTATCACCTGTACTGGTAACTGTCAGAAGGAACAAATCTCCGAAGCTGTTCATTTTTATGCTAGCCACTTTAATGGTCAAGCAGAAGCTTTTGGAAGTAAGCATGAGCAGAGTTCTAGATCATCACTTGAGACTGTGATCTGCTTGCACAGATAGTCAGAATGTGTCGGTGTTTCAGTAATAGAGTTTGTTCTAAAGAAGATGTCGAGTCGTATCAGTTGCAAAAAGAATAGACCATACAGAATGAAAAAAGCCTGTCTTATCACCTGGGCAAACTTAAAATTGCGTAGGAGAAGTGAATTGTTCATGGAAGGTGCTGCACGCTTTTACCAGCTTACTTACGGTTTTTGGTATTGGATCCCAGTTAAGCCAAATACTTCATCTGCTTTACGTATTTTATGTGTTTGAAGATGGTATTGTTGATAGGTAGGATTCTGTGTTGTGATTATTGCGTTTTTAATATGAAAGGTGAATACAAAAGAATATTTTTTGTTTTAAAAAATATTAATACATTAACATTTATAAAATATGTTAATATGAGTTATTAATATTTTAATATGAAAGAAGATTCAATTTGCTTGAAATTTAAAGGATCGCTGTCCATCGGTGCCTGTTACAATTCACATAGTATCTCCAAACCTGTTAACAGGACAAACTGAGAGAGATCATTTTATTCTTAGTTATCTTGGACAGCAGATGTAAAGGAAGGAGTTTTAGAGCCAGATGCTGATTTGCTATTGGTATTGGTCGTTATTGCTAGTATCCATCACATTCCTTAAAAAAATAAAGGGCTACCCAGTTCATGAGCTAGCATTTTCTTGTTTCTGATCTGAGAGACTTTCCTTTAATGCTTATGAATTTCACAATACTTACTCACCAGTAAAAAACAGGCACAGAAAATAGTAGTGATTTGCTTAAAGTCCTACAGTACATCAGATTCAGAGCAAGGTTACTAGTGGCCTGCTAACAGTGCCTCCCAAATAAATCACTTAGCCACACTTGTTCTGTTTGTGTGTTAGAAAAAATACATGATTAGAAAATAATTTACACTTTAAGCAAATGGTTTCATCTGTTGATCTCAAAGCCCTTAGGATAATCATTACTAATTAAGTTGTACGGATGAGGAAAAAATAAGACACCTGTTGGTTAAGTGATTTGCCTGGAGATGCTGATCCAATAGATAACACCTGAACTTGTAAGAAAGATAAAGAAAATTGTTAGAATTCAGCTACTCAGAGTGGCTGTCAGAGGAGGTTGTCAGAGGAGTATCTAATTCTTGGCTGGGTGACATTTTTATTTCTCATACAACTTATCGGTTTATAACCAGTATACTTTCAGCAGCTGAATTCCCCAATTACACTGCATCCTCTACTTTTCTCAAATGTTAAAAATATTTCATGCATGCTCCCAGCATGTATGTTTTTAAAGGTCAGAATTTTGCCTAAAGCTATAAGATTTTTTCAAGCTAACACAAAATTGGTTGTCCCATGTTTTTGTGAGGAAACCTTGTTCTTCTAAGCTTCAGTCACTAACCTGACCTTGGGTACACTTTTTTATTTCTTCATTCTTCTATTACGTAGGCTACATATCACAAATTTACAGATTCAAAAAATTTATAGGAACGCTAAGCACATATTAAGAATTAGGTTCAAACTGCAATCAGAGTTATCTTTCTTACAAGTTCAGGTGTACTGTAAGGACATTTTTTTGCGGTTGTCAGAAGAATTAGGAAAGAATATTCCAAATAATATTTCTGTAGCTTTTATGCCTTTTAGAACGTAATGTGGCATTACAGACTTCAGTGGTAGAGTTGCAACATGCATAATAAGCTTCTGGAATCTGGAATAATCTGCTTATCCACAAACAGAACTGGACATAGTAAACTACCTTTTAGTGGGTATGAATGTAAACTTAATTATTATGCCCTTTTAGTCATGGGATGTTTTAGTCCCGATTGTGTTGACTCTCCTGTGATTTAGTAATTTGTCATGTGGTGCAGTTGCAAACTCAGATTGAGAGCAGTAGATTATTTTAGGCTAATTCAATTAAATGGTCCCTTCAGTTCCTGTTTTTTCAAATGATCTTAAAAATGTGCTAGTATACACGTACATTGCAGTAGTATCTTTTGAAAAATCGGTGCAGTCTTCCTATTTGCTGTACACAATTTTGACATTCAATGCTAACAATGAAGGAGGGAAACCTATTTGCTCTTTTGTCTGTTCCACATGTAGTGATACATTTTTCTTTATTTATTTCTGAAAAGAGAGATTTGCCACCTAGATACGAAAAGTGATCTGAAAAGCTCACTGTCCTGTTTTTCGTGGCCAGTGTTTCAAAGAAGGACAAAATCTTCCATTATTTTTGTTTGAAATTAAGTCATAAAATCATTCAGCCCTGAAAATAAGGGAGTGAGGAAAGGGAGGATTATCTCCCTTCAGGTTAAATATCTTCTTCCACAATAACTTATATGAAAAAAAGCTTATAAAATATATGCACCTGTCTGAACGTTTATCCTTAAAAAGTCTTTTTGTTTTATTACCTGTCTTCAAGTTTAGAGTTGAGATGTAAAACAGTAGAAGGACATTTGCTGCTAAACGTTCTACATTTTTAAGTTTAAAAGGCAGCTGCACAAACTGAAACAATAAGTGCAAAAGAGAGTTTGAGCCCTGAAGCAATGGAACATTTAACAGTGCAGTCATTTGCCTCGGAAGAGAAGTATGAATGCTTTACTGTACTACTGCTATAGTCAGATTCACGTAATTAATTGAGTGGTAGTGGCTTAAATTCAAGTTGTTTTTAATAAAACAAATTTCATTTCATTTTAGCATCTGTCATATGTAAGCAGTGAGATTGTTCCTTAACTGAATTATTTTGTTCCACTGTGATTTAGTTAACAATTTCAAAACACCTTCTGTTCTTGGCAGGTGAAAAATGGTAAATAAACAAAGGAGGCTCATCTCTGCCTTTAACTTTCACAAATTCTTGCCAAGTTTAACCTATTTGCTCTTGTTAATTCATTTTGTCTTTCAGGCTGCTCCAGTTTCTGTGTTCAAAATAAGTAGAGAGCTTTCTTGGGTTTTGTTCAGTAATTTCCCTAAAATAACTAAAACAACTAAATGACATCTCAGGAAAAAAGAATGCATGTTTTTGCTTGCGACTTTGCCTTTCTTCTTGACTTTCAGTGTCCTCAACAAAGTTTTTTTCAAACCTTTTTATTGAGTTTGGCATAGCTTTTTTGCAGTGCTCTTGCCCTTCTTCATTCTCTTCCTTTGTCTTGGTTAAACTGTGATGCTGTTCCGCAGAAGTAGTACAGTCCGAAAGCCCTAAGGACCTACATATATCTCAAGTGTTAGTATATCAGTGTTTGTAAGCTGATCATTTTAAAGACATACGGAAGGTGAAGAGCAAGAAAGAAGCTAAAATAAGCGTGTTTATTGAAAAGTGCTCTGAAAGGGCAATAAAAGTAGCTGGAAGGAGTATGAGTGGAGAGAAAAGGAAGAGAAAAAGCCAGATTCAAGATGAAGGGTCCTATAAGTAGGGAAGGAGAGCCACATGTCATCAAGAGTTTTCCCCTCTCTCCCTTTTCCTGGCACTTTGCCCTGTTATACCATATGATTCTCTTTTATGCAGAAGATCCCCCATCCAAATACTGACCTCCACATGTGCACGATCCTATAACACTCCATACTTTTTTATAATCCTGTTGTCACCAAATTTCTACACAACGCCTCAGTTATCAGCCGCTTGCAGATCTTAACCCATGTAAAAATGTCATATGTTGTACAGAAGGAAAAGATGTTAGAATTTAGGGGGAAAGGAGGTATTGACTGATACATCAATGGTGACCGGGAGTCAATTTTGTCCTTACTGTCATACCGCCACTTTGTGGATTATGCCTATTGTTTTATCTACTTTGTGGTGTACTGAAACTTCATAGTGTAAGTCTCTTTAATACAGTGTGTTGGAAAAGGGACACTCAACTCTCGTAATACTTTTTTTTTATTAAACATGGAGAAAACTAAAGCAGCAGCACTACGAAACAGAGTGGCTCTACTGAAGAACTGTTCTTTGAAGCATTCCTTGTCTGATGGTTGCTGAAGTACAAATGAGTGGAGGCAAGAGCTTTCCGGAGCTGCTAATTTCTCAGAGCAGAGATAGAGCTTGATTCGCCAATACCTGGTCTGTTTTTATTACTGTTCACCATCCCAGAGCCTGCATCTGAATCCAGCTTTTCCTCATACCCATTGTAATTCATCCTATCTGCAGCGAGGTAGCGAGAGATTTTAAAGATGGGGATGAACAACATTTCTTGTCATGTTTCATCTACAGTGGTATGCATCTGCTGGATTTTAGTGCTTGCCTTACTTAGTTTTGGTGAAGGTTAGCATATGACAGGAGAAATTAATCTTTTAATCATTTAAACAAATAGGAAAAAATTTATCAAAAGGTGTTTTTGAAGGCTAATGCATTTTACTGACTACTCTGGCTTGAAGACCCCAAAGGAATTATAGTTTGTGTGAAGTAGGGAGTTTGTGTATTGTATGGATGCAGTGTAATTTCATGAAATCACTCTTCTGTTGTTGAATGTTTGATATGCAGTAAATTCATCATGACGTGATGTGACAGATTCCCTGACACATAGATAAATACGTGCACGTGCTTCATGCATCCACATACATGCCATCTCAAATACCCAAAAAGGAAAGAAGCATTGAACTTCAGTAACTGGATGCTGGCTGATCAGTAGCATCATAAGCAGCTGTACCGGTTTGGCTGTCTGGAGGCTGAAAACAGGAAAGATTACTAGGCAAAATGAGCGACTGGTAATACTCAAATTTTGAGAGTCTTGCAGAGACCTATGTGGGACAGTTCCCAAAGTCATCTAGTCAGTCTCTGTTCCTCAGGTTTGGCCTTCTAAATGCAGATTGGATTCTTATCGAGCTGATAGAGAAGGAAACCGGTTTGGGAGAAGGGATGCAAAGGTGTTGTATTGTTGCCTCCCTCCTCTCCTCCTGCACAGGGCTGTCGCATCTTTTGTCATTTCTGGAGCTTCCTGTTGAACTGCAACCTGTTGCAAAGTCTGTGCTTCCAGTGTCATGCATCCTTAGAGGAACGCACTGAAAAGAGAGGGCAGAATAGTGGGACAGGATCTGTTTTAAATTGCTGTGGCAGAGGTGGGGGTCTGAACTGCAGAATGAGGTGTATTTCTGTGAAGGCTCTAGACAGAGCTTCTCCTCGGCTTCAGCCCAGTGAACGCTGCAGCACGGCGTAAAGTCAGCTCCGAACGAAGCCCAGTTACGGTGGTTGAAGCCCAGAGCTCCCAGCAGACATCTTAGGCTATACGCGCCCAATGTGTGAGGAACGAACCCAACAAGTGAATGGCTGATGGGGATTGAGCTGTACCATGTTCCTGGCAGTAAGTGTACCTCTTGTCTAACAGATGCAGACAGGCAAGATTCCATTAATCTGTTCCTGGGAGTATTCAGGCCTGCAGAAGGAAAACCTCACCTCTGGGAACTTCCTACCGATTTTTATTTGCATCACAAGAACACTCTCAATCTGTCACAGACCAGGCGAAGGTATTTTACTGTTCCGTTTTTATTTTGCTTTTGCCCTAATAATTTCCAAAATGCGTGCGGTTAACCAAACTGGGCAATCTGTCAAACTGGAACAAAAGCTTGTGTACTATTTTTTAAACTGTCATAAATCTATATATGTTGTAATATTTGTATAATATATATTGAACATATTTTGATAAATTTGTATATATACATTTTGAAAGAGATTATGAAAAATGTTGGACACTGCTGTTTTGAAGTATTTGCTTTAGCACTTTTATTTCCTTTGTACAGAACAAAAAAAAGTCTTTCATATGAAGTTCTATCCAGCTGAGTGAAATGAATTCGCTCTTTTACTAAAGTACCGTTTACCAATGTCTCATTAAGCTGTATACAGGTGTGTTTTTAGTGGTCAGCTTTAGTTAGTGTTGTATTTGCGATTGGGATGAGCATTCCATTAATTAATTTATTTACATAATGCATTTAGTCTGCAGCTGTGCATATGAAGAAGCCTATACTAGTTTTTACCTTCCAGCCATATCTGGCCTATTTGGAGAATTTTTGTTCTTCTTGGTTTGCATGCCATTGTAGTTGCATAGTGATATACAAAAATTAATTAGAGCTAAGGCGTAGAAGTTTTAAAGTAATTTTTAGTATGATTGCCTCACAGTATGGAATAATTTTGTGAAGGATTGTAAACACTAACTATAAAAAATATTTTCCCAATTTTATTAATAAGGGCGGTGCTAGACTTGTACTCGATTATCTTCCTTAGATATTTTACTGTTTATATTTTGGTTCATTCTATCAGTTGTAAAGCTCAGTCTCTTAATTGGTAGATATGAATATCTGCATTTAGGTGTTTATCTGGGGAAGATTCAAAGTGTTTAAGGAGTGTGCCCAATCCCTAGTGGCTACTTATTCCATTAAGCCATCGTGGCAGCTGGCATGCGATGTAGCTGTTTCTAAATTGCAGTCCTTTTTTATTGTCTCCTGAGGCTTCTGTTGATGCTAGGTCTTATCAGCCATATTACTAAGTTCTAGTTCAGCCACATATTAAACGTGCAACATCGGTTTTATTGCCTATTGATCATGAACAGTACTGTATGTCCAAGTGAATCCAGCTGATATACCACAAATACATGAATGTCCCAGTCTCTCTGTCATCTGTTACTTGTTTGTCAAAAACGGTCTATTATTTGTCACAGATACTATTCTCAGAGGAAATAGAACATTTAAAAAAAAGGGTAGTATTCTTCCTTTCCTTGTTAGCTAGTCTTACCTTTCATTGTGGTTAAAATTTATCTTCTGAGCATTAACAATATGCAACCAAGATGGTTTTTCATGCGGACATAATGACACCTCCATGTAATAAGTTGATGGGTGAAAAAAACTCTTAAAGTAATTTTTGTTTGTTTCTACCAAACTATTTTACAAGCTCTTTGAATAGCTTCTTCCTGTCTCTTCGTTCAGTGCCTCTATTAGATTCCTTGGGCACAGCAGCAAAGGAGATGATAATGAAAACTCATAATGAAAACAAGGATTATAGGAAGAGAAGGAAGGTGACGTTTCCTGTAATTGAAGCCTCTTTTGACTATCTGTACTTTTCCTATATTGTATCTGCTTCTCCACCAGAAAGAAGAGATTTCATAATGAGTTTCACATACTACTTTTAGATTATTTATGTGATTCACACGAAAGCACTGTGAAAGGTGGGAAGGAAGACTTTCTCTTGTCACCTTTCTTATCATTTTTATCGAACAGGAAAACTGAATGTGTCCGCATAGTTTCTCAAGGCACTGAGAAACTGGCGTGCTAGCGTATCCTAATACATCACTTCATCAGGGGATGGGGCTGTCGGGCACAACTCATTTCTTTCTGTTTAGGACATAACACTGTTGTTGGAACTGGTGTGTTGCCCTGCATATTTTGTACTGTTCTCTCAGTCTTATTAACAAATCTGTCTCAGGACATGGGAATACCCCTATTGTTTCTGCTTCAGGTGGCTAGCTGCATTGACATCAGTAGGAGATAACCCCTATAATATTGTGATTACAGCCATTATAATATTGTGATTGCATAAGTATTTGAAATAGAATCAATGAAGAGAACTGAATGTCTTTTCAACCCAAGAAACGTCATTAGGTAGTAGTAACTGTCAGAATGATTTAGAGAAAAATGTGAAGTATATTTGAGAAGAGAAAACTGAAGTATGTAAACATGAATGAAAGATAGAACACTTTATTTTCTGAATATTGCTTGACCTCCTGTGTTTACTTTTTCAGAAATATTGCGTAAACTTCTAGGAGGTCCTGTTTTTGCTGTTAGCTATGTCAGCACATAGTTATCAGACTTGCGACAGCCGTCATATCGAAATGTTTTCCTACATCAAGAAGTCAACTGCTTTGACAGTGCTCAAATTTCATTTAATTAATTATTATTGGTGACCTTCATTTCTTCGTACTCCTTTCCCAAATTTTAGGATCTAAATAAGACGTGTTGGGTGAGGGGTGTGGTTTTTTTAAGACCAGAACAGAAGAAATACATATGGAGTAAACTTACCTCATGGCTTTGCGTTTTCTTCACTGTTTTCTCCAGATATCTTCTATCTGTACTAGAGCTTAAATTTCAGAACTGTAGGCAAGCATCTGAAATGGTATTGTGTTTAATGGAGGGAAATTCCCCTCCCTCCGTAGTGAGCTTCACGTGTTTGATTTATATGTCCTCAGAGCAAAGTTGTGAGCTGTTAAGATACTCCATCCAAGGATAATTCTTTATTTTCTTCACGCTTGAATTATAAAGATGTATGTAGCGATGTGACAATGTATGGTTGTTTAACTAGCATGTGCAAATGTTTAGATTAGATGCAAGATCAAATCTCCTGTATCAATTGTGTGTCTGTCTTTCCTGTACAGCTACACTTACTGGTGGACCACAGGTGTGCTAAAGCATTTACCTCTTCCTTTTGATGAAGGTAGGAACTGTGTTTGCTCTTTGCCTTAGAGAATACCTTGAAAGAAGAGTTTTGGTCACTAATGCTTTAAGTCTCTTGGATCGCAAATTTTTAAAAAACGTTGTTTCCGGAATGATTGCTAAACCATTTTTTCCACCAGAAGCTATGATTTTTTTCAACTGCAAGATGCAAGAGAGATCTAACTCTTCATCTGTAGAGTGAGATAGTACAGATCAGTGCCTAAAATTTGACCATTGTATGTTTCTTTATTGTTTATATGTTTATTATGAAAGCTGTCTCTGTCTTTATATCATGTTTTCTTGTCTTAGAGGGGATATAGCTTTAGAAAATGCCTGGTAAGTTGGCTAGGTAAACAGGCTACTTTTTGTTTAGATTTCTGCAGAGGTGGTAATTGTTAGCAAAAATAAAATTTATGGTTTTGTGTTTATTTTTTCCCAGTAACATGTGCTGAAAACAGACGCAAGTTGATAGTGAAGAAATTCCACAAGTGTGAAGAGGAAATTGATATCCACAATGAGTTTTTTCGGCCATATGAGTTGAGCAGTTTCGATGAGACCTTCTGCTTGGCAATGACCAATTCTACACGGTACGTTTGGGATGTTTTGGGATTGTAAAGCCTGAACTGGAACTTGATTTGGTGTGATTTAAATGTGTACATTTGATTTATTTAGCTACACCTAGGCAGCATTGGTAGGTTGCGGGTCTTGTGGGCTTTTTGGAAGCTTCAGGTTTAGTAAACTTTTACACACTAAATGACAATATTGAAGTGGCAATGCAGCTCTAAAAAGTTCTGTTAAGATAGCACTAAAATTTACAATTACCTTCCATTATTGATTGTACAATGGTTGGACATTCATAGGCTGAGAAATGGACCTCTCTCTGTGGGCTCCACAGGTCACAGAGACTACCTCAAACCATTTCTTTTCTTAATTGTTCTGCTTTTATTTTACAGTTGTTTTCCGGAGTTCATCAAGTTCTCACAGCTGGCCAGATATTTGTTTTCTGCAGCAGTCAGTTGAATGTTCTAAGTATAATCTTAATCACACTTTAGCTAAATGATTTCCATGCAAATTGTGTTTCATGTAGCTTTTTGACCCAATTCAAGTGTTGGTAGCATCTTGAAAACAATGCAGCTGAGTCATGGGGCTTCCTCAGTACGGGAATATGTCATTGCCCGAGCATCCTTGGCAAGTAGTCATGTTTGCAGCTGTTTTATGGGACTATATAACACAATTAAAAGCTTCTTAAATATCTAGGGGTTTAATTTTTACGTAACTGTAACTTGTAATGACAAAGTTAGAACTTGATAATAATGATTTTTTTTAATTCAAAGGTGGATGTTACAGGTTCTCCTGGAAATTTTGAAAAATATATTGTGTGTGTTAAACTCTGCTCAGGGACAGTTTTTCCATTCTCTTTTGCCAGAGATTTTATGCCCAAGAATGTGGGCATTGATCCAAGTCCATTTACTGTTCGTAAACCTGATGAAACTGGAAAATCAGTGTTGGGGTAAGTCTGAAATGTGAAATTTTGTTCTGGTTTAACAGCAGTGAAAGTCAAGTTGTGATGCATGAGATCGAAAGCCCAAACCTGTCTTTCTAGAAGGATACATAAGCCAGTGCAACTAAACGGACTGTTGCATACTTCAGTGGGGTTTTTCTTGGTGCAGGCCTTAGCTACGCAGTTTCAGTGTGCAGTGGTTTATAGCCCTGTGCCATGGTAGAACAAAGTTTATGAAGTTGTTTTAAGTGAGAATGCATAGATGAGAAATAGATGTAAGTCTTTTTTTTTTTTTTAAGTTCATAATATTAGATAAATGAGACATGTAGGAAAGAATGAGTAGAAAGTTACTGTAAATCAAAGTTATATATTCTCCGTTACATGGGAAATAAGAAACGTTCCTGATGGTATACTGTAGAATTATTGTATAATTTGGAAATCATATATACAACTTGAGATTTGTATATATGCATATATACATATAACTTATTTATCCACTCTTGTTTAATCTCTTTTGTTTTCTTCTGCTTCTCTATTTAAGTAAAATCCACACAAAAATCTTTTATCTAGAGTAGAGTTACAGAGGTTGTTAAAATTTGATCCTCTCTTGATACTAGTGGCAGCTTTGTATTGTCTTTCGGAGGTGGACAGGAATGCATGTCATTGTTGTCTTTTAAAATAAATTTTTTTCAGTAAATAGAGTTTGTCCTGATACAGGAGCAACTACCAATTTCAGCAGAGTTTTTGATCAAAAACATAATGGAAAAATTATTTATAAATAAAATGATACAAAACAGTTCAATAGTTATTTGGACAAATGAATATTTCATTCAGCCGCTTTTGCATCTAGGACTTCTTTTGTTACTTTATTTATTCTGTTGTTGTGTTTGATTAGCTATATCCCATATCGGCTACAAGGACTCTTCCTGAACCACTTCACTCTCTCCTAGGTACTTCATATTAAGGAAACTTTTTATCAGTAATGACTAAACCTGTGCCGTCATAGGTTTTAAGTTCTCCCTAAAACTTCATTTAAAAGTTCTATTTAAAAAACAGAACTGTTCTGTTCCAGTTCTGTTAAAAGCTATAAAATTTGACTGTCTCATAAATAACATCCATTGTGCCTTGACTCGGAGGGACTCACAGTCAATAAATGTTGAGAGCAGACTATGCCTATCATTAGCAGAATCTGATTTCGTGCTACTGATATTCCCTGGGAACAGACAAAAAGACTTTTTGTCAATTATACGAATCTACTTTGATTAACAAGAACAGTGAATATATAGATACTTTTGAAGAAAAGCTTACTCTTCTGCTTTCTTATAACGCTGTATTTTGTACTACCTAGCTCTTCTCTCCAGATATACCATGAAATGCTTGACCGCTTCACATCTTTCTCAGGCTCTTTGCTTCAAGCTCTCTGTTGTGACATTGATGGATTTTTAGGAGGCAGAGGGTCGGCTGGATCAGAGCCATGTTGCAGGGTGCCTTGAGTATTGCTTGTAAGGCTTCCCATGCACTGGCTAGTGTTGTGAGGTGAAACGTGCCTTCGATCATCCAGCTTACCGTAAAGTGATTCAGGCCTTGAATCAGGTAGGAGATCCCTTAGGTGAGTGAGACTTCATTATTGAATGCAAAAACGACTGCGACAGTTAGTTACTGTTATCACGGAAGCACTTCATGCAACTTCATAGCATTCTGTAGGACTTTAAAGCGGTTTCCAGAAAAAAAGCCAAGCCATTTGTCCTACAATGCCTTTTCCAGGGTATAAACTTCTTCAGCACAGTCCATGCAGGCAATGAGATCTTTTGAGAAGAGAATCCTGTCAGTGACATGAGTTCCTCGGCACTTTCAAGGTTATATACATTTTAGGCGTAATTCTATACCCCGCCCTGCTTTTCTATTACTAAGTTTTTATATCCCCAAATTCATCATCCATTTAGGGAAATGCTATTAAATTTCTTTCTGACACAGCATGCTGTCACTCTCAGTTTTTGGCTTGTAGGTCAGTATTACAGTATTGAGTTAGATTTACCACATCTAAATTTTTCTTTTCTCTTCTCCCCACCCTTTCTGACCTCTTTCACCCCCCTCCTTTTCAGGGATCTCTCCAAGAGACGTGTTTCAACAGAAGTAACTGTCTTTACTGGATTTGAGTGCAAGAAAACCCTGATTCAGTTAAGACGGTTTTTTTCCTACAGACAGCATTTCACAATTAAAAAATAATAATGTGATGGCATCGCCGCTTTTCTTGAGCCACGTACGACTGTACGGTGATGTTAACGTCAGTAGTTTCATAACATTCGTCAGTGGATTTGGCTGTCTTTCCTGACCTGCAGGACACCTGCTTCAATGTCCTGATCCAGCTGTGACATCAGAATTATATTTGTTTTATAGTGGATCAAAGTTTTGTAGTACAACGTCTTCTTGTTTGACTCCTTCATAGTACTGGGGGGCCTTTCCATAGGTCCTGGTATTGGTTCTTGTCAGAGTCTTGATGCCTTGCCAGAAGTTTGTGATTGAATTGCCCAGTGCCTACTTTGGACAGAGGGTTCATTCCACTTCCCTCTGCTCTCCGTGCTGGTAGTGATAGGTGCCTCTTCTCCACCAAGGAAGCTCACATCAGCATTGTAAAAGGATAGGGCTTGATATCTCCTGCAGAACACAGTCTACACATCAAAGAGAAACAGGGTAATTAAGAAACATCATGTAATACATACTTCCATGACTATCATATACAAATTATGGTGAACAAAACTGCTGTGTTCTTAATTATGTTGATTAGTATTCCAGGCATATCCGTCTGGCCGAGTAGGCCACTTTTTCTACCTACTATGCAAACAGTGTGCTGTCCTCCTTTGTGCCCCCTTTGCAATGCTTTGAATTAGAACACAAACAAATAGAGGTTTATTTTTTGTTTTATAAGCCTGCTAGAGGTGGTATCTTTGCCTTGCATATTTTTCAGCATCTTCCAGTCTGCTAGAAAATTTCTGGAGGATTTGTTAATCTGTTTTTGTTATCTGTCTGTCTGTCTGTCTGTCTGTCTCTCTCTCTCTCTCTCTCTCTTTCTCTCTTTCTCTCTTTTTTTTTTTTTTTTTTGGCGGGACATTGACCCCCAGCCGTGGCCGC